CTTATGTAGCGAAGGAATCATATTTTTAAAAAAAATAATTATATATATATATATATATATATGCTTCGACGATCATGTCTCTTTGATTCATGAATGACTAGGCAGAAGTTTTTCACACAGTAGGTTGCTGTTTCTTATGATAGCTTAGATATATGGAAAAAAAGGAAATGAAAAGCTTATTTAAATTGACGTCAGGAATATATAGTTAAAATTTGTGATATTTCAAAATCTCTATTTTTTTTTAAATGGAAGAATAAAATAAATTATTTAAAATGACCCCAGAAAAAAAACAGCGTGTGTTTCGTGTTACAACGTCTAATAGAACCTAAAGTTTAATATTTTCTTCTTAAAGACATAATTGTTATGAGTCTTGTGGAACCAAGTAAAATATTGGTATTTATGACCTGGAATTGAACGGGTCCATTTCTTAGGACTTTAACAGAACTGTAATATTTGTCAGAAAACATGTTCTTATTTTTTGGGGTCTATTTGTTTAGTTCTTTTTTTTTTTTTTTTTTTTTGCATTCAATTTGACTATTTAAATATTGGATGTGTCCCGTTATATGTATTTGTAGTTGATAGAGGATTCCTTTTCTCGTTTTTTTTTTTTTTTTTTTTTACTGAAAATAAAATGAATAAAACGCACAATGACAGCAGCAATAAAACATCGAGACACATTTTGTCATTAATAACAAGAATGTGCATTTTTTTCGTGTTATTAATTACTGGTTTTGTGCGTGTTAGAAAGTTCTCAGTGTTATTGTCTCTTTTGTTTCTTAAAAGGTTTGTGCCTACTTGTTTTTGCTTGTTCCGAGAATTTTGTTGTTAAGGGAAACCTTTGAGACCGTTAACTGCCGATTTTCACGAAGCGCTGGTGATATATCAGTGTTCCTTTTACTACTGCTACTCTCATCGCTTGTGATGGAAGGGGCGGTTTTATGGCAATGAAGTTTCAGATTTTTAGAATTATGAAATATCCTCATCATGTATCATCAGTGGTGGCAAGGTTGTTTTAGAATGATGAAACTTTTATCTTTATTTCCAGGACGATGAAATATACTTATCAAGCATAGCAACACCTTGGATAGACGTCTGTCATTGAATTCGGTACGCCATAAATTATACTAACATTTTTTAAAAAGTCGAATGCACATGGAACCAGATTAATCAAAGAAAATCAAACAATACAAAATTAAAAATGGCAGAATTTCTCTCTCTCTCTCTCTCTCTCTCTCTTTCTCTCTCTCTCTCTCTCTCTTTCTTTCTCTCTCTCTCTTTCTCTCTCTCTCTCTCTCTTTCTCTCTCTCTCTCTCTCTGTACTTCATTCACTGAGGAAACTTTAATAAAAGTGAAACATGTTAGAATGATAATCGTTTCATATTTGTTCTTTATCTTATCATTCAGGGATTAGATGCATTTGTTCAATTTTGGCACATTTCTAATATTAGAAATACATTGATGTTTATAATATATATATATATATATATATATATATATATATATATTATAATAATAAACACCAATGTATTTCTAATATTATATATCTAATATATATATATATATATATATATATATATATATATTATAATACACATCAATGTATTTCTAGTATTATATATCTAATATATATATATATATATATATATATATATATTATAATACACATCAATGTATTTCTAATATTATATATATATATATATATATATATATATATATATATAAAACCAATTTGTGACGGGTAGGGATCATTACAAGGAGGATATTAATCCCCAAAAAAGCTCAATGTAAATTTAAATTACAAAGCATTATAATAATAAAAGAACCATTTCGGAACCATTTACTTGATATCATTGACGGATCCATTTCTGAAATGGATCTTTAAGGTTTTTTATTGAATTAACATATATATATATATATATATATATATATATATATATATATATATATATATATATATATCAGTCACTTTTTTTCTTTGCTGTCAATTTAATCTCTATTAAGAGTAAACATTTTATTAGATAAACTGACAGCAAATATACATAAAAGAAACTGGTATGAAATGTTAAGCAATAATAACTATATAAGTACCTGTTTAAATTTCAATATCTTCCGATTTTAATTTTCTGATGAATGATGATTCTTTAGCTCATAATTTTAATAAAAGCTCCTTACGAGTTCCTTGAATACAGCGCATCGTTAAATATCTGAACTGAAATACTTTGAATAAATATTACAATAGGAATCTTAAGTATGCAGATCAAATATTTAAAGAAGTAATAGGGTACAAATGATAAGATTTCAAACTGACAAGACGTTCCACTTCGCTAAACACGAAGTGTTACACGAATGGAAACGTTATCACCTTTTATTTCCTTCTTTCTATCTATTTACGTCACTTCCCTAAAAACAAACACTATCTCTTATAAATCTTTTTCTTCAGCATTAGCTCGCAGTCAAAGCGGAAAGGTCCCTTATTTATCTAAGGTAATGGCACGGCGTAACACAGAATTATAATAGAATGATATTTGATTGATATCACTTGACGAAAGACACAAGCAAGGGTTAGTAATTTGTTATGGTGTGATCACCCCCTCCGAATAAATAATAATATATAAAATATATTGTTATTGAAATGAAATATGAAATTAATAGTTGTACTCATCATTTCTGACAAACTTGCAACGGTGTCAAACGGGCTTGCTAAAATTTAGAAAAATTAGTATACTAAAGCCAATATGGCGGTATGGTTATTTTGATTAGATAGAGTTCTGAATGAAGTATAATTTCACTTGACTACCAGCAAGGAAGCATCAGACACTTCGTCTTCTTCTTTGTTCAATGTTCATTTAAGACATAGGCGATCATGGCTGCCCATCATTTCATATCACTTGTTGCTCTTAGTAAGGTTTGCATTTTTTCATCAGTCTTTCTTCTTTCTGCGATCCATTTACCCAAGCTCGTTGGATAGATTACTTGATGTTTCCCACTGTCTCTTTATCATTAAATATACCTTGTAAGAATCAAATTCTCCAAGCCCTCTTTCATTTCCAGACGTTTCAACTGTTACTCACATGTTTACTCCATAGTATTCTCAGCATCCTTCTGTTGAACCACATTTCTGTTGCCTCAGCTCTCTTCTTCATGTATGAGGAGATTGTCCAGCATTCACTGCCATATAGCAGGACTGATATTGCGTAATATTTCAGCTCTTTTTTTCTAACAAAATTCTTTTGTTTCTTAGTACTTTTCATTACCAAATAATATTCATATGAAGAGCACGAATATCAATAACTAATCTATTTAAAAGTCAAGAGGAAAGTTTTATTGTTGTCAATATTATTATTATTATTATTATTATTATTAGCCATTTGTTTAACGGCAGTGAGCGTGTGTTTGAACGGGGGAATGCTTTTCCTGCTGTTTCGGATGTTTCATTCTCTGCGCATGTCAAGATTGTTATGCCAGGATTTCCGCCAGTCAATCAGGTCGTATGTCGGCTGGAATTACACAGATTTAAAGCTTTACAGCTTAGCGTTAAAAGATTTGTGGAACCCCTAAGTTCACGGAAAACATTCTGGAAGTGACTGACGCGATCAAGGATGTTTTGTAACTTGAAACATAACATCCCCTAGAAGAGGATAAAGAAGCAAAAAGGCTTCAAGATTTCTTCTTTTTTTTAAATATTGTAACGTTAATTAATGTCTGATAACAATACGAAACTAAAACTTTCATGCGTAAAATTATTGCTTATTCATTTTTGGACTCTTTTAAATTAAGATTGGCTGTGAGAGTATGTGTTTTTTTTTTCGATGACTTATTTTAAATGTTTGATCCTCTAACGATGGTGTGAATGACTCTACCTTCACTCCTCTTAGGTAGGGCGTTTATATAGCTTGTCATCCGGTTGTTGTGTGTGTGTATATATTCTAAGTCAGCTTCACTTTTTCAGTCGGCACCTCTAGCGACATCCATTTAGTTCTCAGAGGCACCTTGCTCTTTGATGGTCTGATGTGACACCGAGTACAATCTTTATTGTGGTACATTTTAGAGTTATACTAGGATCACTACAGAACAACTTTGAGATCAAAAGTTTCCTGATTGACATTAAATTCGTTTCATATTCAATTCGATTCTGTTATTTCCTAATATAAATGACATACTACAGATAAAATCATTATTGGCATTTCTTAGGTTTAGCCGAGTACATATTTGGATCAACGCAGATCAACTCTTCTAATTAAAGGTTCCTAACTGGCATTAAATTGTTTGGTTGATTTTATTTCGCGGCATATCAACCACGATGGCTTATTTGATGTCAAAATCTAAATAATTTGTACACAATTTTATGGTTTCAACTAAATATATTTTGAAAGCAATTGTGTGCCTCCAAGTACAGATAAAATGCATTGCTATTCATGTAATGTCGGTCTTTTTTATATAATGATGCATTGCTTGTATTTCTACTATTTTAATAGTAAAAATGCCAGCAATACATTTTTATGCACTTGTATACTTTCATAGTGTTTTTTTTTTTTTTGTAGGGGTCACTATTTGTACATAGATTGGGACCCTAACAGGTACTAACACCCTGAGTTAGGGTGGACCTGGCAACAGCAGCAATTAATAGGTGATTTCCTCCTCAAAACCCCCTAACAAAGGACTTGTTGCCAGATATAGTTTATCGTCATACCCAGGAATGACATTAAATTCGATTCAAACTTTTGGTATTTCATGTTATGAATCGCATACTACAGATATAACCATCATTATTTTCTTAAGAAAAAAAAAGAATTTCTAAAACCTGTTTTCAAGGAAAACCTTCCTCACACAGAAGACTGACGCAACACAATCTACCCACAACCAATAACCCTTATTTGGTTTTGTGCCGTACACAGTTATTATTTATTTCTCTTTTTAGCCCATTCGAAAAGAATTGACATGAAGCAGGTTCACTTAATAGACTGGAGCAACATAATTTACCGTAAGCTCATTCTTCAGGTTACGGCTATATCACGTTGAAACATTGGTTTTCCTACTATCACCGAAGTTAAGCAACGTCGAGCTTGGTCAGCACCTAAATAGGTGACCGCTTGGGAATACAGGGTGCTGTAAGCTTAGATGTGCGGGTGGTGTAATGGATAACGGCTCAGAATTGGAAATCGGATAGCCGAGTTCTAGTTCTAGTTGGGTTCGTTCTATTCACTTACGCGTCAAATGCCCATAGAAAAGGTATGGATCCTCGTCTCCCTTCCATCTGTGAGTTAATTATTATGATAACAAATATCTCCAAAATTATCTATAATTATCTTTAAAAAAATTCTCACTATGTAAAAATATTTTCGGGCTTTAAATAAACTGCAAAGGGTTGATAAGACGTAAAAAAAACAGATCAATCAATACCTCATATTTAAACTTGGATAAGAAGCTTCTTCCCGTCGACGTATCGTTCAAGACGTTGGCGATCATGGCTTTCCACACACACATATATATATATATATATGATGGGAATGGAATTGTGTTAGGTCATTTTAATTGGTTGATTGGTGGACACTAAGTTTTATACTGTTGTCATCTCGGTGTAACATGATGTTTAAGAAAAGTAAAGTATTGCTTTCTTCTATTTCATATGTAAATTCTAGTGTATGTTCGGCAAAAACTTCGTGTTCACCGAAAATCAACCAAAAAAAATGACCTAATAAACGTCTATTCCCATCATAACAACAAAATAAATTCCGAAATGAGCACTCACAATTTGAAGCCCTCAGTATGTACACGAAGAGGAGAAATATATTGAAAATAATTTCAAGACTCTTCAATACCATATATATATATATATATATATATATATATATATATATATATATATATAAGGAAGAGTTTATAGTAGTTCCAACGAAAGAAAAGTGTGTATATATTAAAGACTTTCGGATTACTAACACAAAAAAGAGAATGTCTCATATCGAGAATATTTAAGATCGAAAAGCATAAAGGAGAAAAAATTAATTATTTTTAATAATATGTGGAAATCTCCACCCTTTACCTGATGATGGTCGCGAGACCAGAAACCCGTGTAGTAAAATTATGGAAAATAAAGCATATTTTTAAAAAAATCCACTTTACAACCAAGAACATTTACGGTATCTCTCTTCTTTTAAATATATATATATATATATATATATATATATATATATATATATATATATATATATATATATTGTCATCCACAGACAGTGTCGCTGTATCACAGCTGATCACTTTGGCTAGACGTTCGATTGCATTGCATAGGATCGAACCCCGATTGAATTGTACTCGTAAGCCGTTGACGCACAGCAGGGATGAAGGTGAATTTAAGCGTATTTATTTTTAGATAAATACACAGTGACTGAGAGAACTCGATTCGTTTTACCGAAGAGTTTTGCATTATTAGCCGTAATAGTCACTGTTTACAACCTCACACTAATGTCTCTTCAGTCTTGTTTTCGAATGAGGCAACATTTAGAAGAGATGGAATAACAAATTTATACAACTAATGTTTGTGGGTGGATCGGAATCCCTTTGGTACAATACAGGTTAGACACCAGCCTCAGTTTACGATTAATGTATGTATTGAATTTGTAGGTGACTGTCTGGTAGGACTATATATTCTCCCAGTACTTATAAGAGTTATTTACAGGGACCTTATTTCGAACACACTTCCTGACCTGCTAGAGGATGTTCCCCTGCTAATACGAAGACGCGTGTGGTTCATGCATGATGGGGCTTCTGCATATTTTAATCATATTGTTCGCGATGCATTGGCTGAAATTTATCATGAAAGATGGATAAGTAAAGTTCCCTGGCCTACACGTTCCCCCAAACTCAATCCTTTGAATTTTTATCTGTGGTGTCACCTAAAACAATTGGTTTATGCAACAGACTTTAATAATACAGAGACTCTTCATCAAAGTATCATGGGAACTGAGAAATCATTTTTCACCGTGTGGGAGTATTTGAAAGGTTCCGCCAGTCAATGATCCGACGGTGTGCATGCGTGTGTAGAAGCAAGCGGAAGACATGTTAAACATTTGTTATGCGTTGTGAGGTTGAATTAATTTTTTCAAAAGTATTTTTGATACATATATATATATATATATATATATATATATATATATATAAATTCATCGTGCCAAGAATTATCTTCAACAGAATGCAGAAGCACTGGACGGCCGTTTCGTCCTATTTGGGACTCATCAGCAGTGTGCATCCACTACCGAAAATCGAAACCGGACCGTTTCGATACAACGCAAGCGTCTTACCAACTGTGCCAACTAGACTCGATATGGTCCTGCTCTCACTTTCCTTGGTGTAACTCATCCTAATATATTTTTCCTATAGGACTGTGCTGCCGACGATCCACATCTTCTTTCTCCAGCCGCTCCCTCCAGAGAATTAGAAGCTGGTTCAAGCATTTATATACAAATACTAGAAATTATTGGGCGTGGGGGGGGGGTTGTAACATCCTAGTATATTGATTTAAACAAATCAAAGTAATTCATCGAGTCTAGAAGAATCCTCAACAGAATACATAAAACACTGGACGGCCGTTTTGTCCTATTTGGGAGTCATCAGCAGTGCGCATCCACGACGGAGAATCGAACCCGAACAGTTACGATACAACGCAAACGAACTATCCGAATAGTAAAACCCCGAAACTTTAAGCCGTTTGCGTTGTATCGAAATGTTCCAGGTTCGATTCTCGGTAGCGGATGCACACTGCTAATGATTCCCAAATAGGACGAAACGGCTGCCCAGTGCTTTCTGCATTCTGTTGATGATTATTCCGAGCTCGATGAATTATTATATGATTATTCTAAATCCCCAAAAATTTCTTCACTTATATATGTATGTATAAACAAACTAAACCGATTAAAGGATTTTCTTAAGTGGCGTATTTAATTCATCAGATGAGTCCTTAATTATTTGCTTTGACCTCATCCGATTACATTTTAAAACAGTGATTCTCAAGACAATAGATATCTTGTTTTTTTAACTAATTTTACCATAGGTCTTTAAAAGTGGTGGAACGCTAGACGATAGATGATGCCCTTAATTGTTCGAAAAAGCTTACAACGTATTTCGAAAATCTCTAAGAGGAATACAAGCAGCATCATTACTACTAGAGCAAATTGAAAATTCTACAGAAGGATGCTGAGAATGGACCGAACATGCGAGTAACGACGAAGTTTTAAAGAAAATGGTAACAAAACGGACACTTATATCTAACTTCAGAAAGTAACAGTTGAAATTCTTAGGGCACATATTGAGGAAAGAGGCCTTGGAAAATCTGATACTCAGAGGACAGACTGAAGGCAAGAAGGACAGAGGCAAACAACGAGTAACGTACTTAGCGAGCTTGATTAAATGAATGGCGGAATAGGATTTAGGGGTGATATAAAAAAGACAACATTTATTAAGAGCTACAAAAGACAGGAAATTGTGGAGAGCTATGATCGGCTTGAAGAGACACAGCACAATTGAGAGTGAATGTCATTTGATCTCTCATGAGGAAGATATATAAAAATGAGCGAATAATAATTAGATTAATGAAAACAAAATTCCGACATGTGTGTCTGTGGGTTTAGCAGACCTAATCTCTGTCATAATTCACTCAAGCATCGAAAATTGAAATATTCAGGAGTTGAATGCTTTGACTTAAACACAGACGATTCGGAATTTTATAAATCACTGTCGCTCACTGTGTGTGACCATTGACAGAAGCGGTCGGACAATCGCAGATTTGACTATGGCGATAAAGAGAGCGGAAAATCCGCTCTTGCCGCCGCTTCCTGCCATTATTAATAATTTATGCGCGGGTTATTCCGGCGATTCGACTATAGCAATTATTCTACGAACGAAACGCGCAAGCAATGGACGTGAAGAGACTTCGTTTAAGGACGCTGGCCGGAAGTCACTGACTGACACATTGGCATTATTTAGATTTATACACATCGAAGTAAGTCTTCGGGAATTGAGGTCTCCATCATCGGTAGAAGTTCCATAAAGCGATTCGGTTGACCATCGGCGATCTGTTCACTGAATAATACCTCCTCATCGGGGATAGAAAAAGGCAATGACTTTCTTAATACTTATCATTTTACCAAAAACATTTATCATCTCCTGCTGTCGGTATTTAAATACATATATGTGCGTGTGTGTGTGTGTGTGTGTGTGTGCTTAAGCGAGAGAGAAAGAGAGATAGACAGATAGTGTGTGCGCGCGCGCGTGTGTGTGTGTGTGAGTGTGTGTGTGTGAAACAAAAACTAAGATTGTATTTCGTGAGAACGCGGAACCAGGATATTTCTGGCGATAACGTCTATAAGATGTATTTGTAATTATACGCAATATCAAGAGATACCTCCTTAATAATAATAATAATAATAATAATAATAATAATAATAATAATAATAATAAGCTTACATATTACGAAGAGCTTTTTTGTTTTGATCTTTTAATTTTTTTTTTTTTTTTGCAAAAATGATCTGTGGAAAATGTCATGAAGTCATTTCTGACCTTAGGTCTCTGGTTGGGCCCGGAAGGAAATGATTATACAACAGAAATCCAAGATAATAATAATAATAATAATAATAATAATAATAATAATAATAATAATAATAATACAGCTCAGGACCAAGGCCTCGCAACCAGATCTTATTACTGTCACATAACCAAGGATGGAACTAACTCGAAATGCAGGATCTGCGGAAAATATGATGAAACTATCGACCATATTACCTCAGGATTTCTGGAACTGGCAAAAATGAATATACCTACAGACATAACAAGGTAGCGACATATGTGCACTGGAAGATATGCAAGAAGCACAAAATCGAAACTACTGAGAGATGGCATGAGCACCAACCAGACAGTTACCCAAAATAACGATATAACTATTCTTGGGACATATCAATTACAACTGACAGTGAAATAAAAGACAGCAAACCTGACATTATCATAAAAGACAAGAAATTCAGGAAGTGTATGCTTATTGACATAGCAGTAATATCTGAGAGAAGCAGCTCCATGAAAAAATATCGAGAAATTGTTCAAATACAAGGACCTGGAGATCGAGATTAA